GTCTAGACCCTTATTTGGAGTCGACCGGACGCTGGTCCTCGCCGTCCGGGCCACATGACCTTCCAACGTCCGGTCACATCAGACTTGATCACCTCAGTCAAATGAACTGACCGGACCCTGCGGCCAGCGTCCGGTCGCATCGGAGCCAGCGTCCGGTCAGTGTTTGACCCTCCATTCACTTCCAACTTCCGAATATATGAGAATGAATTTTGCTCCAAAAGATCTTAGGCAATCATAGGAGCTACCTAGAGCTAGTTTAAACAAGTGTGCACCACACCTAACTCACTAGACTTAACTAGGTCAAGCTACCCGTTCATACCCCCCTTCATAGTACGGCCAAAGGAAAAAACAAAGTCCTAAACTACTCTAAGTGTCTCTCCAACTTCAATTGACACTTAGAACTAGTTATCCTTAACCTTGTCGTCCATCCTTTGAAAACCGAAACGATTTTCATCGTAGGGGCATGACAACCTCAATTGCCCAATCGATCTCCATTACCAAGACCTAACTTAATTGCCTCTTCAAAACACACGTTAGTCATAGTAATCTTGTATTGACATCAATCACCGAAATCCAACTAGGGGCCTAGATGCTTTCAATCTTTCATCACTCCATTCGGTGCCTACTGCTACAAGACCATGTCATTTGGACTCAAGAATGCTGGTGCCACTTACCAAAGAGCTATCCAGACGTGCCTTGGTGAACAGATCGGCGAAAACATGGAGGCATACGTGGATGACGTAGTAGTGAAAACAAAGAACCCGGACACACTTATTGAAGACTTAAAGCAAACCTTCAAAAACCTGAAAAGGTGGAGGTGGAAATTGAACCCAAGCAAGTGTGTATTCAGAGTTCCTTCAGGACAACTACTCGGATTCTTAGTCAGTCATTGTGGAATCGAAGCCAGCGCCAAACAAATTTGAGCCATAACAGAGATGGGACCCCCTCGAAGCGTCAAAGATGTACAGAAACTAACAGGCTGCATGGCAGCCCTCAATCGTTTCATATCAAGACTCAGCGAAAAAGGGTTACCTTTCTTTAAACTACTGAAGAAGACAGACAAGTTCGAGTGGATAGAGGAAGCCAACGAAGCTTTCAAAAGACTTAAAGCATACCTCACATCATCGCCCATTCTCACGCCACCAAAGAAATACGAAGACATGATGCTGTACATTGCGGCAACTTCTACGGTGATCATCACAGCGATAGTTGTGGAAAGAGAAGAAGAAGGGCGCGTATATAAAGTACAACGCCCCGTATACTACATCAGCCCCGTATCTTTAAGTTTTCGCTGTAAAGTTTAATGTTTATTATCTTCTAATTATATTCGAACCAACGGAAGAATTTAATTTGAAGGGCAGTTATATTTAGAAAATTATGATTATGTTGATCCTCTAATTAAATTGGAACCAACGGGAAAATTTAATTAGAAGAGTTGTCCATTTTTGTTTGTGTTAAATTATGGTATTGTCATTTTTTGACCAACGTTGATGATGACAATATTATAACGAATTTAAGTTTGAAGTTTAAATCTCTGGAAAATTTTACACCAACGTGGTGAATTTTTCAGAGAGTTGATAAGGACCAAGAAATGCTCCTGAACTAAAAGAATATATTTTATTATTAAGTTTTCGCTGTAATGATGTTGATTATCTTTTAATTAAATTCGAACCAACGGGATAATTTAATTTTGAAGAGTAGTTATATTGATTTCAAGTTAATTTATGAGTTTTATGCATTAATTCTACTTTCTGTCCAATGGTGATGTAGAATTGATGTAGAAGCATATTGTATGTTTTATTTTAACCGGCGAGATCACTTGGTTGCATACCAACGGGCTGCAATGCTGGGGTATGTGAATAAAAAGGCTTGAGTCAAGCCAGTTCAAGACAGTTTTGTTAGTTTACTAATTTTCTGATGAAATTAGAATCAACGGGAAGATTTAATTGGAAAATAAAGTATAAGTAAATGTTTTAGTCGTCATGACTAAGTTTTCGTATAGATGTATCCCGCATGGGGAGAAGTTTTGGCATAGTAATTATGCTAGTCCATCCAGCGTGGCGGGAGAAGTTTTGTAATGATTCACATGTATTATATCCCGCATAGCGAGAGAAGTTTGGGTAGCTCTTATGCTGCCCTAGTATTGACCTTGGCACAGGAGAAATACATAGTCATGGTCAATACTAACCAAAAGATAAGAAAAGATGCAAGTGTAACTTGCAAAAGTGTCGCTAATGAAAGACCTCATTGAGTTTTTAAAGTGAATTAAGGAAAGTGTACTTCTAAATGGATCAAGAAATAACTTTGTTTACATGACAAAATTATAGCAGTAAAGTTCATGCCATATTTCGAGGGGGAGAAAAATATAAAGATCAATTAAGAAAGATACTTTCATTAAGAGGGAGATAAGGATTAATTAAGATGAATGTGACCGTCGGAGTTGTACAATGGTTACAACAATGATACCCCTAAGCAGAGAATAGCTAAATTCCTGGACTTTTTAAAGTTCCGACAGAAAAATAGCGTAGTCAGTCTCAAAGATGTTAATGTGGTGCTTAAAGCGCTATATGAGATTTTAACAGATTAAACCCAAAATAAGATATTTGAAGATACACTATCTTTAGAAAAGATGAGAAGATCTGGGAGAGCATGGTATGTAGAGACCTAAGACTTGATGAGAAGAGAGACTGTGTGTCCACTCTAGTGACTCAGGAGCAACAAGTTTCTCAATACCTGTTGATGTTGCATGACCAATACAACACCTATTGTTAGCTCTTCGAAGAAGATGAATAATGTAAATAAGGATCTTGTTATACAGGAGCCTGTAGAATCAATTGTCTCTTGGCAATGAAGAGCAACAATAGCCCCATATGAAAAGTGCTAGTAGCTGAGGCCCTAGAAGATCTCAAAGAATTAGTAAACCAGTTTTCTGATGACTATGAAGTTTATGTTCGTAAAAAATTCAAACGGAGGGTGATCCCACCTCATTTGAAGAAGCCATGAGAAGCGTTTACTCGTTTAAGTGGCAAGAAGCTATGGAAGCTGAAATGAATTCGATGAATACCAACGATGTTTGGAACTTAGAAGTAATTCCTAATGGAGCCAAAATAGTAGGCTGCTAATGGGTCTAAAAGATAAATTGTGACTCCAAAGAGAATATAGAAAGATATAAAGCACGACTTATAGCAATATGCTTTACGCAAAGAGAATGAAAAGATTACAATGAGAGTTTTCTCTCTAGTCTCATGCAAGGACTCTTTTAGAATCATAATGGTGTTCATGACACATTATGATTTAGAAATACATCAGATGGATGTAAAGACGGCATTCCTAAACGGGGATTTATATGAAAACGATTACATGGCATAACTCAAAAGGTTTTGTCATGGAAGAAAAGAACATATGGGATGCCGCCTGTAGAAATCTATCTATGGGTTAAAAGTAAGTCTCTAAACAGTAATATTTGAAGTTGATAAAACGATAAGAAAGTTTGGGTTTTTAAAGAAAATGAGAAGGACAATAGCATTCATATAAAGTTCAAGAAAAGGAAAATTCATTTTCCACATCCTGTGAATAGATGACATTCTACTCACTAGTAGTGATGCTAATCTGTCATTGGAGAAGAAGTTTTGTCCTCAAGTTTCAATGTGAATGATCTTGGTGAAGCGTCATTGGTTCGAGGATTCAAAATTTACCGAGATAGAAGAAAATGGGGTATTAGGACTATCGCAGAGGCATATTTAGAAAAGATTCTAAAGAAGTAAAGTATGCATGTGAGTAAACCTACGCATGCTCCTATAGTCAAGGGTAATAGTTTTGGAAACTTTAAGTGTTCTAGGAACCGATATGAGATCGATCAAAAGAATGTGGTTCCATATGCTTCAGCTGTTGGAAGGTTGATGTGTATACAAGTACAAGTAAGAATTTACCCTAACATATTTTAGGTATCCGGAATATTTTGACAGAAGTCCAGTTCAGATATAGATCACTGGAATTGAGTTGAGAATGTCTTGCAATTTTGTAAAGTATCATAGGCCTCATGCTGAGTAAGAAAGAATAATAATAATATAAAAGAAATGCATCTAGACCAGTTACCAGTCAATTTATAGGGTCTATACCAGTTACCAGTCAATTGTAAAGTGCAAGACATGAAGTAATACAAAAATTAATAAGTTTTGATACTTTTTTTCCTGAAAGCTTGGCTCGTTTAGCTCGCGAGCTGCTCCCGAGCTGGCTCGAGTTGGCTCGTTATAGCTAACGAGCTAAAATCTTGGCTCGGCTCGGCTCGTTATCATAACGAGCCGAGCCGAGCCAGCCACGAGCCAAGTGAGCTAACGAGCTTCGAGTTTTTCGTCCAGCCTTACCTGTAGACCTCATATGACACTCGCCAGAAGTACGTTGTGTGTATCAAATTTTGCTACCTTAATACAAACATACATAAATCTTTTACGTATTTGAGAAAACAAATTCAAAAGTACAATGCTGCAAAAAAAAATCCATATTTGTACAATTCTTTGTAGTGTGTGTATATATATATATATCTGTGTGTGTGTTTTATATACTCCTGGGAGTAGTTACTCTCATAATCAATAAATTACGTTGCGTATGTGTACATACTCATTTATCAGTTTGAGTACGTTGACATATTAATATTAAGATACTCCAGATCTTTACTATATAAAAATTTTTCAAAAGAACACATATTTTTTAATATATTATATAAAACTATGATAGTATCATATAAAATAAGTATAACCATATACTCTAAGTATACATACATACTTGACATACATAGTACCCTAGATGGTCTAGTACAATGATATACTCCTTCTGCATACACTTTGTTGGGCCATATACGTCCTAAGTCTACATATATATACACATGGGGTAACTACTTCAGAGAGTAGAAAATAATTTCCATATATATATATATATATATGAACGACTGCACTGCACTGCACGGGGTACGTATCAACATCGATCAACGGAACATACATGAATTAATTCAGTGATCCCTTTTGCACCATATTCCATGCCGTCGATGTGAAGGAGGCTCTCCTGGCGCATAACCAGGTACAGTTCGTTATCTTCGTTGGTCGGGTCGGGGTAGTTACAACAATGTGCCGCCGATGCAATCGTCTCAAGCGTGGCGGTCTGCGGGTCGTAGAGGTGCACGTCGTGTGCCGTGGTTGCCTGTCGTCGCCGTCGTCATCGTCACCGTCATCAGAAGGTAGATAGCAAATTGGGATCACCAGCCATGGTTCCATCAGCTTCTTCTTCGTCAGCTGAGACGACGACGACGACGTAGCGAGGAGATCCTCGTAGATACGATAGTCCAACGACCAGACGCCAGATTCGTAGTCCTTGAGCTTCCAGACCTCGAACATGGCAGCCACGTCACGGCGGCGGCGAAGGTCCCGGATCATGCACAGGCACCCGTCAAGCTCGGCGAGCGCTGTGCCAATGGGTTGCATGACGAGTCGGTAGTCCGACACTCCGACGTGCTGGCCGTGCGGAGACGGCTTGCGCGTGGCTGGTCATCGTCGTAGGGAACGAGGTCCGCTGCCACGAATGGCGGCACTGGCACCGTCGCGAACGACTCGGTGGCGAGGGAGAAGGAGAGGATGCCTTCCGGCGGCTGCGGCTTGCCGTCGTCGTCCCGGAGCAGCAGCATGCCCGTCACCAGCGTCCAGTGAAGGCAACCATGGGCGAAAACAGGGTCCATGGGCTCAATAAGGATGTTACCGGTACCGAGGAGGCCGCCGCCGCCGTCGATGGCGGGGGACCTCCAGCCACCACGGACACCGTCGGCCGCACCCACCGTGAGCACGTGGCAGTCTCCACACCGGGCGGTCCGTCACCAGGGCAAGCTGCACGACCTTGTACTCGTCGGTGGCCGCGAGGTACCCGACCCCGGCGGCGGAGATTAAGCCCACGGTGGGGCACGGCGGGAGGCGCAGGAGGCCGCCCGTGGACACGTTGCAGAGCGTGTAGGCGCCCGTACACGGCCGGCTGAGGAGGGCCACGCCACGGTGGCACGGCTTGCCGCCGCCAACGAACCTGGGGCAGCCGTCGCAGGGCATGATGGTCAAGCCTTCGCATACCTCGCAGGGATGTGGCGGCGCCAACCGGGCAGCGGCGAACGCTAGGCGGCCGAGGCCGACGGACGCCGCCGCCTGCTGCCTGTCGCTGTAGAGCCGCTGGAAGGCGGCGTCCGAGTCCGACCGGAGGAGGTGGTTCCAGGACCGGCAAACGCAGCGGAACCGCGCCAGGGACTTGGCCGGCAGGTGCAGCAGCACCTCCCAGATGAGCTCGTCCGGCAGGATGACTGCTGCTGTTGATGGAGCCGCAGCCGCCGGATCTATCGTCGTCTTCATCATCATCTTCTTCTCAGCTCCGTGGTGATCACCATTATATTATAACCATAATAAGAGTATATATAGACTCGTCGCCATTATAATATATATATAGACTCGGCGCTGAGGCCGCTTGATAACTTCGGACTCGACTTCCTAACTGGGCCGACACGGACACGGACACGGACTCAGCCCCTGGGCCGGCCGGGAACGGCAATCCAATTGAGGAATAGGCCCTGGTTGAATATTAAAGCCGATAGGAGTCTCATTCGAAATAGATGATGTATAGTCTCCCTCGAGTTACAAAAACTATATTTTGTGCAACCCCTCTAGCTCTTTTTTGCCAAAATATCCTTGGTTAAAACGACTTCCTTTGTTAGGTGGCAAAGAAACACTTTAATCTTTAAATGTATCTTAACCTTCCAAAAAAAATTCTCTTCTGTATAGCAAGATGCGTTGTTCAGGCACACATCTACCATGCATGACACTTTATTAACAATGTATGTTGATGCGGGAGTTTGTATTCTCTAACTCATTCGTTTTCACAGTTAGTTGCAGTCCTTTGGTTGCGTGCTTACTTTTCCCTATAGGATTGGAACTTATAATGCAAAACTATTTTGTTAGAGATAGCAACACTCAGCAAAGCCGTAGTGCACATCTATAAATAGTATCTTGCATAGGTTTTGATAAGTAAATTTTAGTTGACCATTAGATTCTAAAAAAAAAAAAACCATCACACTTTAAAAAATGAGCAAAATTGATTGAGTTGATGAATCGGTGTCACATTTAAATGTAGGTCCACATAAAAAACTGAACTCTAAAATTGAAAAAAAAAACTTATCTTCACCTGAAAAATATTTCATGAAATCAACTAAAATTAGCTAGAGATATGATAACTCGTTATATAACGACGACTATACATAGACTGAGGGTATATGTAATTTTTAATTTAATTTTAGAAAAAATAAATAAATATTTGTTGCAAATAATCAAATATACAGGTCTAGACGCCGAAAGGCTTAGTACTCCTATCCAAGGTTTCTGAACTCATTGATCCAATAACAGGCACGTGGGATTCTGTGGGGGTCTGACCCTAGGTACCCACGGCGGACTACATGGGCCGCACCGCAAGGGACGGTTCAGCCCACAAGATGATGGCTTGTGGCTCACGGCACAGCTCGGCGCACACCGCAAGGCTCCTCGGCGACATCCTGAAGATTGCGTAGAATCTGTTAGGATGTGCTGAATGTACGATTCCATGTATAGATTATCTCTTACCCGATCAGACTCTGACCTGATCGGTATGTAACCCTACCTCGGGCTATATAAGGCGGGTAGGGGACCCCCTCAAGACACACACAATCATATACGATAGCCAATATAACCGACGGGACACAGGATTAGGCTACTACGTCAAGCTGACTGTCTGAACCTGTCTAAGTCTTGTGTCTTGTCACCATCTCGCTCACCTCTACGATAAATCTATCATCGTGGGTATACCCCTCGGTGGACTGCCAAGCACATTTAGTCGACAGATTCTCAGCTAATTAATCCAAGATATATTTTGGGAGAAGGATGCGACAAATATACTTTCCATTCCTATTAGACCGGCTTGTGAAGATGCAATTGCATGGCCATTTGATTCGAAAGGAACATTCAGTGTCAAATTTGCCTATCATGTTTTAGAGGACAATCAATAACTTAGTCGCTGTTCTCAACGTGATGAAAGCTCTAATTCTGAAAATGGCGGAAATGCTAATAGGGTGTGGAAGAAGTTGTGGAAGTTGAATTGGCCACCAAAGATCAAACAATTTCTATATATGGAGAGTGGGACATAATAGTTTGGCAATGAAGTTGAACATCAAGAGGAGAGGGATTGATCTCGACACTAGATGCCCAGTCTGTTGGCGTCTTGATGAGGACGGTGGGCACTACTTTCTTAAATGCAACATGGCGCGAGCATGCTAGCGAGGAATGCAGCTAGAAGGAATCATGCTACAATTGCTGCAGGCCCGATCTGCGATTGATTTTGTGAATGCCATCTTGGACTTGGAGTCGGATACATGCCTCAAGGTGGGCATTTTACTGTGAAAAATGTGGGATGCTATAAACAAGGTGAATGCCGGTGAGAAGGCACTGTCAAACCAGGAGGTATGTGGGGCGACAATTTGTGATTTGGTTCCGGATGTCAAGAGACAAGGAAGCAAACTTGGCCGTAGATCACATTGAATGTCCAAGACTGGTCGGATTCCATTCCAGGTCAAGCTTAACCGAATGGCAATCTTTGTTGGGTGGGGTTTTATTCCATGTCGTTCTGATCCGGGCGGATTGGTCTCGTTCTCACTGATGGAGAGAAGGCTTCTACTCCCGGTTGGGATCCCCTTTTAATCCCGGTTTCCCAACCGGGAGTAAGAATCCGGGAGTAAAGGGAAGACCCTTTAGTCCCGGGTCAATAACCGGGAGTAAAGCCCCCTCCTCAGTTAAAAAAATAAACGAATTTCTTGAGACCTCGCGTGCGCTGTGTGGGATTCGAACACAAGACCTCTCTCATCACGCGTAGATTCCTTACCAACTCAACTGCACACTACATGTGACATAGTCCTCCCTGCTCCTACTTTTAAATTGACCCATGAGGGACCTTTAGTTCCGGGTGGGAGACCTTTAGTACCGGTTCGTAATATCAACCCGGACTAAAAGATCACCCTCTAGTCCCGGTTGGTGTTACCAACCGGGACTAAAGGTTGGAGGACTTTTAGTCCCGGTTGGTGACTCCAACCGGGAGTAAAGGTCCACCTTTAGTCCCGGTTGGTGTCTCCAACCGGGACTAAAGGTCGCCTGCCACTGTGCCGAGCGCAGTAGCCGTTGGGCAGAGACCTTTAGTCCCGGTTGGAGACACCAACCGGGACTAAAAGTCTCTCTAGTCCCGGGCGCAAAAAATGCCGGGACTAAAGCCCATTTTAACCTCAGATGAAAGGTCTGTTCTCTACTAGTGTCTTGGCCGTTCCGTAAGAAATGAACGAGGCCTAAATGAACTATTTACATATTGATAATGATTGTAGGAAGTAGGTTATTCGAACGGCAAAATTAATTGCAAATCGACACAATGCTGCTACTACGACTACATGTAAACAAGATAGTTGAACGTGTAAATGGACTTGTACACGCATCTTTTATGCAAGACTGCTGTGATCTTGACATGGAAGGCAGTCCAGCACACATGTCATGACCCTTCATACGTCCTACGTCCAAACGAAGCCCTCTTCTCCATACACGACCATTTGAAAATTCATCAAACTGCCAGAACACAACAAGTGAAACCATTCTCAATTCAACTACGCGTGAAAAGTCAGATTTGTCATTTGGTCGTCGTCTAGGTCGGTCGTCTCACATCACGTCACCCGGTTACTACCAACCACTCGTCAGCTTACACACTGCACGATACACTACTGCAACCTGCACCAGTTGAAATTAAAAGAAGCTCCATTGCGCCAACCTCGATCGAATAGGTTAGCACGTTGCGCACGCAATGGAACACCAGCCCAGCTAGCTCATCGTCGCACGCACGAAGCGGGCCGGGCGCCGGCCAGCCGGCGGGATGACGGTGGAGCTGGAGATCGCCTTCGGCGTCGTCAGCCTCATGGTCGTCGTCACCGTGGCCTTCCTGCTGCAGAAGTGCGCCCGCAGCGCCGCTCCCGCGATGGCCGCGGCGGCGGCGGCGGCGCGCGCCAGCTGGGCCGACGCGGGGGAGGTGGACGCCGCCGTGGCCGTGGTCGTGGATGTCGAGGCCGGCCTCGACGAGGCCGCGCTCACGGCGCTGCCCAAGGTGGTGTACGGCGACAGCGGCGAGGACGAGGAAGCGAGGAAGACTACGACGACGACCACGACCGCCACCGAGACGACGGCGTGCTGCGCGGTGTGCCTGGGAGCGTACGCCAGCGGGGACGTGCTCCGCGTGCTGCCCGAGTGCGCGCACGCCTTCCACCAGCTGTGCGTCGACCGGTGGCTGCGGCTGCGCCCGACGTGCCCCGTCTGCCGCTCGCCGCCGGTGCCCAGGCCCAGCCCTGCCGCGACGCCGCTCGGTGCACCCGCCCAGCTCTGATCGAGCCTCTGATTACCTACCCATGCATGCATCCTCTCTTAGCTAGGGTCAGGGAACTAATTAAACCCCGGTGTGTACATACACACAGTAAAAGCTTTTTTTTTTTTTCTAGTATGTCTAGTACACAATCATGTGTTTTATGCAGTTTTAACACATGAATTTTTTTGCACCATAGAATTAAGATACAACAGCCTCCACAATCCTTTTACCTCTAAGCTCCAGCCTTCTTCTACCTCCAGATAATCATAAATCATAAGATCACAGATCCACAGATTCACAGATCACAAGAAATAATTTTTTTTTCTATGGAATGATAAATCACAGATCGCAGAGAGGAGGAGGAGAGGCCTACCTAGAGCCGGATCCGCCGCCGTCGCCACCGCCACCGCCATGGCCGGCGCGGGCGCGGGGAGGCATCGCCGGGCGCAGGCGCGGACGCCGGGGCGAGCTCGCCGGACGCCGTATCGCCGACGCCGGTGGTCACCGGTGAGAAAGAGAAGGAGAGAGAGAGGAAAAATCCATATGTTTTTTTTTTTTGCTAAAAACACGTATGTTGTATAGCATTTCTGTTTTTTTTTTTTTTGTGTGTGTATGAAATGGAATGGAAGAGCAATGCAGATTGAGAATGAAGGCAAGCTAGGCAGATGAGCAAATCCTCCAGCACACACAGCTACACAACAGCTACGTGTGTGTGCGCACTGCCACGAAAATTCAGTTGAAACATCACGTCAGTCACAAAGGAAGCAAGTTTGGATTAGACTCTCATCCTCACTCAGTGCTGCTTAATGGGATGGATGGATGAATGGTACACAAAGGAAGCAAGTTTGGATTAGACTCTCATCCTCACTCAGTGCTCCATTGGGCCCGTTCGCTTGTCTGAATTCTGGAGAAATCTGGATGATTTGGAGAAATGCTGGAGGAATTTGTGAGAGAAAAACACTGTTTCGGATAAAAAAAAATAAACGGATCTAAGCCGGGTTTAAAGGCACGTGAACGGGGATGCAACCAAGTGCCAACCACCCATATTATATTTTCTAGTCTTCCATATACTCTACCTATCCTAAAATCAATGTCGTTCTTGCTTCTCAAGAGTCAAACATTTTAACTTTAACCAAATATACAAAAGAAAATATTATTATTTATAGTATATATAATTAGTATCATTAGATATATCATTCAATATGTTTTCACAATAAACTTATTTGGATATATAAGTATTGCATATGTTTTTTACAAACCTAGTCAAATTTATAAAAGTTTGATCGGCGCGGATACCATGATGACACTTATTTTGGGATGGAGGGAGTATTCATTAAGGATGTCCCTTTTTAGTGATCTTCACAGTTTTCTGTTATTTGAGGTTCACAACTGGACAGTACTCCATGGCCTGAGACCATGTTTGGAAGGGATTATGGATTTGTTTTCTTGCCAGAAATCAGATGGACTCTGTGAAATGGACAGTGGTTTTCTATTCCTGCATGAATCACATCTCTGATGCACAAAGTATTCTACTCCTTGTACACAAGACAAATAAAATCATATCATTCCAAACGGAAATCAGCTAGAGAATATGACACCTACCAAACAGGGCTAGTATATATCATTCCAGTAATACAACAAGAAGAGTAGTGGTAGTGTAAACCCTTGTTTAGAACTTAGAGTATCAATAACATCACAGATATATCTGCATGCGAGGCTGATATGCATGCAACAGGTTATATATATAATCAACATAGATACTGGATCTTCATTTCGTAAGATAGAAGAAATTGACCAACGATCAAAAGAGAAAATGACACATTTAGATTAACACTTATCCTATACTTTAGGTGTCTAAATTTTAAGATGATTTTTAGGGAACACTCTTACTATCAACTAGTACCCAGAATGCAGATCAAGAGTAGTGAACCAAGAGGCTTGACCAAGCTCATCCACCAACTGATCAAAAATGGGTATCGGGTGGACAGACTTAACAGTGAGGGTGTTAAGGTACCGGTAATCAACACAAAACCGCCAGGTACCGTCCTTCTTGCGTACCATAAGAACCGGAGATGAGAACTGAGAGGTGCTTGGTTGAATCAACCCTTGAGTGAGCATAGCTTGCACTTGCTTTTCGATCTCATCTTTGAGACTTGGAGGATAACGATAAGCTCTCACATTAACTAGAGTAGCACCACTGATCAGTGGAATTGCATGGTCGCAAGCTCGTTTGGGTGGCAGAGAACTTGGAGTGGTAAACGCTGTGGGGAATGAATCCAAAATAGCCTGAATATCCACTGGCACAGATGCTGCGGACACAAGTTCAGACTGCTGTTCGACTAAGAATAATTGAAACACCATATCACTGTCAGAGCCAGCAGACAGACCTATGAGAAGTATGTGTTCACCATTATAGGGTAGAGACAGCCATTTTGCTTTCCAATGTATCTGCATCGGGCTGTAAAGTTCCAACCAATCCATTCCCAGCATGCTGAAAAGCATATTCACCCAGAGAAAACTCACATCCCAAAATAGCTGAATTGCAGCGCAAAAGCTGTCCATTAGCAACTTTAACATACGCTGACATAGGCACCCTTGGCAGCTGAGGAAGAGCGTCAGCGACAGATGCCGACAGAAAGGAAACGGAGCTCCCCGAATCAACCAACACAACAATGTGCATCCCTTGTATGCTGCCATTGAAACTGATGGTACGGTGAGTCTGAGAACCCATTCTTGCATCATGAGAAAGAGCCAGAAGTAACTGCTCAGTAGCGTCGACAGCCATCTCAACTGGTTCATCAATACTGAACATATCCCATATCTCTTGAATAGCATGTAACTGAACGGTTGCAGCACACTTGTGACCACGTACCCATTTTTCTGCACAACGCTCACAAAGACCGCGAGCCCGTCGGTAGGACCGCAGTGTGGAGAGCTTATCTTCAGACGTGGGCATCGCCACCTTGTCATCACCGGGCTTCTCAGCAGCTGGAACCCGATGCTGTGGAGCAGCATTCCGGATATTGCCTCTGAATATAGGCTTGGGACCCTCCGGCTTGCAGATGGAGTCAGTCACCTCTTCCTGCAACAATGCCATTCAATACGGAGTATCGAGGCTAGATGGACGTTGCAAGGTAACAACAGCACGAATGTCATCCCGTAAGCCATCCACAAAACGAGTAATGTAGTAATGATAATCAGGATTGGGCTGATAAGCTTTGAGCTGGTCGAACAGGGTCGAAAACCGTTCCACATAGTCGATAACGATGGATGTCTGGCCGATGTGAAGCATTTGGCGAACTAACGTGTCACGCTGATCGCGCCCGAAACGATCATGAAGGAGTTGGCAAAAGTCGGGCCAAGGGAGACGATCAGGTTGGTTTAGGGAACTAATCCACCGACCGTCCGACCCGCACCCCCGCGGAAACGCATACGCGAGACTCGAACCCAGATAGGTTTGGGAATGTGGTACATGTCAAAATAATCCTCAGCCTGAACTATCCATAACTTGGGATTGTCGCCCTCAAATGCAGGAAAATCGAACTTAGGTAATCGGCCAGTGTTGGGATGAGTGGTGTCAGACTCATGCTCAAGCAATTGACCATCATGAACAACAGACTGAGTGGGAGGAACAACTGTGTTGGGGATTGTACTCATACCGTTGGCCGAGCAATGGAATTGGGAAGTTGTATCCCCAATTCCATCCACCCGTGTAGTCAGTTCGACGTGATGCCCGCTGGGCCGAGCAGCCATGAAGCAGGCAGGTGGGCGCGCGGCGGCCTGCTCCGACTGTGGTGGAGTAGTGGAGATCAGTCCAATCGATGCCGAAGCTTGGTCAAGGACCGATCGATCCATGTACTTTGTGAGCTTGCTCATCTTAACTTGAGATCATCGACAGCGCCCTCGGACTCCTGACGCCATCTCTCGAGCGCCCCCGCTGCGTGCTCGACGGTGATGAGGCGGAGGTCCTGGCGCTGCTCGGAGTCGGAGATGAGCGTCGATTGACGGAGCTCGGAGTCGGTGATGATGCGCCGCTCCAGGTTGAGGTCGGAATCGGCGATGCGCTTGGTGAGGGATTCGTTGATGTCGATGAAGCGTTTGTTGATGGAGTCCTCAACCTCGACGAAGCGTTTCTCCAGGCGACGGTCACCGTCGGTGAAGCGGGAGTCGAGCTTCCGCTCGGACTCAGCGAAGAGCTCGTCGATCCGGTGATCCGACTCGGTGAGGCGCGTGTCGATCTTCGTCGATTGCTCGGTGAAGAGACGATGCATCTCATCCAAGAGCATCTTCGACTCGGGAGACATGGCGCCGCGAGATCGAGCGAACCGGGTGAAGTGGGGATGGTTTGGTGGCGGTGGCGGTGGCGGCGGCGGTGGTGGTGGACTTCCATCCAGAGCTTGGGCTACCGAATCGACCCGATCGCGTGCTGGGAATTACGGAAATCCAAATCGACGAAGTCGATCGATCTCGACAACCCGGGGCTGTTGCGACGGATCTAGAATCCGAACAGAGTTGGAGCAGAAAAAGGAGAGCAGAACGAATCAGAGTAATAGCGGAATAGAAGGAGTGGAAAAGAATCGAGTCTCTGATACCAGATGTAAGCAGTAGGAATTGACAAGAACAGCAAGCAATAAGAGCGGGATTAGTGCGGAGGAGTTCTTAGAACTTAAGAACACAGAAGAGTGTTAGGAAGAGTTTACAATTCTGTTTGTTAATTCATAACCCTCTCTCTCCTCCTCACTCGGCTACTTATGCCTTGGCTTCTGCCGTCTTCTCCAGCTGACGGACTTCACGCCCATTCTGGCCCACGAACTCTGGTACTGGGCGGCCTTTTCCTTGCGCCACGCCGAGGCCCAGGTACCAGCTCATTGTCTTGATCAAGGCCGCTTGAGTCAGACGCCGGTGCTTCAGGGTTGCTGACATGGAGGTCGCCTTCGGCGTCGTCAGCATCATGGTCGTCGTCACCGTGGCCTTCCTGCTGCAGACGTGCGCCCGCAGCGCCGCGCCCGTGATGGCGGCGGCGGCGCGCGTCAGCTGGGGCGACGCGGGGGAGGTGGACACTGCCGTGGCCGTGGTCGTGGATGTCGAGGCCGGCCTCGACGAGACCGCGCTCAAGGCGCTGCCCAAGGTGGTGTACGGCGACAGCGGTGAGGAGGAGGAAGCGAGGAAGACTACGACGACGACCACGACCGCCACCGAGACGACGGCGTGCTGCGCGGTGTGCCTGGGCGCGTACGCCAGCGGGGACGTGCTCCGCGTGCTGCCCGAGTGCGCGCACGCCTTCCACCAGCTGTGCGTCGACCGGTGGCTGCGGCTGCGCCCGACGTGCCCCGTCTGCCGCTCGCCGCCGGTGCCCAGGCCCAGCCCTGCCGCGACGCCGCTCGCTGCACCCGCCCAGCTCTGATCGAGCCTCTGATTACCTACCCATGCATGCATCCTCTCTTAGCTAGGGTCACGGAACTAATTAAACCCCGGTGTGTACATACACACAGTAAAAGTTTTTTTTTTGTGTGTGTGTGTATGAAATGGAATGGAAGAGCAATGCAGATTGAGAATGAAGGCAAGCTAGGCAGATGAGCAAATCCTCCAGCACACACAACTACGTGTGTGTGCACACTGCCACGAAAATTCAGTTGAAACATCACGTCAGTCACAAAGGAAGCAAGTTTGGATTAGACTCTCATCCTCACTCAGTGCTGCTGAATGGGATGGATGGATGAATGGTACACAATGCAACCAAGTGCCAACCACCCATATTATATTTTCTAGTCTTCCATATACTCTACCTATCCTAAAATCAATGTCATTCTTGCTTCTCAAGGAGTCAAGCATTTGTAACTTTAACCAAATATACAAAAAAAAAAATTATTATTTATAGTATATATAATTAGTATCATTAGATATATCATTCAATCTGTTTTCACAATAAACTTATTTGGATCTATAAGTATTGCTAATATTTTTTACAAACATAGTAAAATTTATAAAAGTTTGATCGGCGCGGATACCACGATGACACTTATTTTGGGATGGAGGGAGTATTCCTTAAGGATGTCCCTTTTTAGTGATGTTCACAGTTTTCTGTTATTTGAGGTTCACAACTGGACAGTACTCCATGGCCTGAGACCATGTTTGGAAGGGATTATGGATTTGTTTTCTTGCCAGAAATCAGATGGACTCTGTGAAATGGACAGTGGTTTTCTATTCCTGCATGAATCACATCTCTGATGCACAAAGTATTCTACTCCTTGTACACAAGACAAATAAAATCATATCATTCCAAACGGAAATCAGCTAGAATATGACACCTACCAAACAGGGCTAGTATATATCATTCCAGTAATACAACAAGAAGAGTAGTGGTAGTGTAAACCCTTGTTTAGAACTTAGAGTATCAATAACATCACAGATATATCTGCATGCGAGGCTGATATGCATGCAAAAGGTTATATATATAATCAACATAGATACTGGATCTTCATTTCGTAAGATAGAAGAAATTGACCAACCATCAAAAGAGAAAATGACACATTTAGATTAACACTTATCCTATACTTTAGGTGTCTAAATTTTAAGATGATTTTTAGGGAACACTCTTACTATCAACTAGTACAAGTAAATGTTACTTTAGTGATTTGTTATTTGTCTTTGTGTCGTAACATATCAAATTTTTGTCCTTGTTTCACTACAGAAATAATTGTAAATTATTAATTGTCTTTGTGCCGATCTGATTTGTGGTTTTGTTTAAAGAGTTTTTTTTTATTCTCGGAAGCGAAAATTATAAATTATGCCTATAAAAATTATTACAACGAAGTAAAGCTACAATTCTAATATTGCCCCTTAGATTAATAGTGCCTTTATTGTTTATCAGTCATTTTTAACATCTAGACGAATAGCACTTATGAAAATTCCATGGCCCAAATTCTTTCAAGTACTTTTAGAAATAAGTATAGACCATTCACATGCCATTGTAATTCTGTAAATCTCCTTGATACCAGATTTTGTATAAAATTGTGCATTGAAAAAAATGGAGAAGACATGTTGTCTCATTGTATCGCCATCTATATCATATGGAACATTTGGAAAGAGCGAAAACGATGCATATTCGAAATACAACTTTCAAAAGGGCTTTTCAATTTGTATTCTACTAATTATTTTCTACTTTTCATGTTTATGTTGGTTCGTGATGTGGTGGTGCCATTAGGTTGCTCCTATAATGCCTTGTGTGCTGGGTCTATTTTTTTAAAGGCCACATCCTATGTCATCACAGTGTAATAAAAGTTCTTTCTATCTAATTAAAAGGCAGACAAAGGTCCTGCTGTTTTTACATTAAAACACGCGGTGGCGTCTGACGTGGTGGCGAGGTGAAGTTCTTCATCTTTTCCAAAGGAGTAAGGGTCCGTTTGGTTTGCACCCAAACTTTGCCGCACCGCACCGCACCTTCCGCGCCACAAGTTTGGCGTGCGTTTGATTTGCTGCGGCAGTTGCGGCATTCCGCGGCCTCGCCATCGCGTGCCAGTGCATTTTTGCTGCCAAAACATGCCGCAAGTGCGGCGAACGAAATTGGCGCCGCCGCAGCTCTGGCGTGGCATGCACCGGCTGCGAACCAAACGAGCCCTAAGTAAGAAGAGTCAAATAAAGAGCCAGTGACCTCACGACCTTTGCATGCAAGTTTCATGTTTGAGTTCAAATTCTGAGAATCATATATTCCTCTCCGAGAAATTCTGATCTCCCCTGAGAACGACAGCTCATATTTACGAGAAGGCGTAGCTATAGTTTAGAATCGGGATTCAGGAGTTCAGGACGGTCCATCTTAGATGTTTAGTAAAAAGATATGGAGATCAACGTGCAACCTTCATGATTTTAGACAGTTTAACCTCAAAAAAATTTAAGTGTGGTTTAGGGCCCACAGTGCCACCAAGTTGGCTCCACATGTACTCCCACTTCCACCACCCTAAACAACGCAGACAAATAGCCTATTCGTTCAGCATGTGTTGTCACTCTAGACGCATGTTTGTGCTTTTTTTTTTGGCAACGATGTTTGTAAAAGATCTTGTTTTACAGCTGTATACATGAGCACATAATCCTTCAAACCTTTTTTTTTTAACCAGTCGGCAGGGAAGCTTCCTACCCTTTTTTTCATTTTATATATAAAGAAAGAGACGGTTATAGGTATTTACAAAGCTGTACAAAAGGTACAAGACAACCAGTAGGCCATGATGGTGGTGGTCTAGATTCTGTGTCACTTCACGACGTCACTGTCGCCGGGTGCCATCAGCCTCGCCAGGCTTCTCCCAGGCGATGCGACCCACCCCATCCACACAAGCAACCCACTGAGCTGAGCAGCGCCACCTCCGTCACCCCACACACCACGCACACTCGCATCGCACGCAACGCGGAGCAGAACATCGCCGGGCAGCCAGCCAGCCATCAGCCAAGCTCGCTCACTCACTCGACCGCTCGCCGTCGCCGTCCGTCGCCGTCGCGGATGGTGGAGCTGGAGGCGGCCTTCGCCGTCGCCAGCGTGCTGGCCGTGGTCACCGTGGCCGCCCTGCTCCGCGCGTGCTCCCGCCGCGCCGCGCAGCCCGCGCGCCGGAGGTCGTCGTCGGAGGCCCGCGCGGTAGCCGACGCCGTCTTCGTGGGCGGCGTGGAGGACGTCGAGGCGGGGCTCGACGACGCCGCGCTCCGGGCGCTGCCCAAGGTGGTGTACGGCGACGAGGAGGAGGGGGCGGTGGCGTGCTGCGCGGTGTGCCTGGGCGAGTACGCCGCCGGGGACGTGCTCCGGGTGCTGCCCCAGTGCGCGCACGCCTTCCACCAGCGCTGCGTCGACCGCTGGCTGCGGCTCCACCCGACGTGCCCCGTCTGCCGCTCGCCGCCGGTGACCACCCCCGTCGCCACCCCCGCCAAACCACCCTCGCCGCCGTCCTGATGATCTATTATACTTTAGCGGATTCCGGGGTATCAGATGTAAAGTAGAAGCATTGTATTGTAGCATACAGTATATAGAATGGGAGAAAAAAAAGTTGAGAAACAAACCCATCCATTCCAACCACACGAATTCAGCAGGAACATCGCATCAACAAATAGCATCAGGTTCGGATGAGATTCTCGTCCTGCTGTTCCTGGCTGGGTTTATTGGCGCGGTGCGGGATGTGTATCCCGCATCCACACATACCCCCAAGCCACTCTTTATTTTCATAACAACATGCAGCTAGTTATGCAAGTTTCACAATACACAAAAGCACAGGTACACGGATACAGACACATTAGAGCGGAGTATACATAGCCTAAGATTAATATGCTTACGCAGAGCATAGGTACAATACAACCAAGAAGGTGGTGGATACATGTACGGCGGCGACACCAGCCATACAGAACAGCTAAAATGCAGAAGCCTAATTACCGACCTGTCACCCAGCAGCGTCAGACTGACTAATTAACATGCTTACCGATCCATCGACTCTTTAACTGATTACAATGCGAATGCAAATGCAAATGTTTGTTTGTTCCTAAATGAGATACACGGCTCCGGAGCCCAGAATGGGTTCAGGCTTCCGGTTCCAGCTTCAGATGCACTTCACCGTTGAGTGCGGCAGCTGCCCGTTGTTGACGGGCTGGCTCTCCTGGTTTCCGCCTTTGTCGGCGGAGTTCTCTACTGGAGCGGCGTCTGGCTTGGCTCCAGGTGCTGGATCTGCAGCAGCAGCATCTGCCTTGGTTCCAGGCGCTGGATCAGCAGCAGCAGCATCTGATTTGGTCTCAGGCGCTGGATCAGCAGCAGCAGCATCTGATTTCGTCTCAGGCGCTGGAGCAGGAACAACAGCAGGCTCAGCAGGAGTAGGAGCTGAGTTCTCAGTTGGGGCTGCAGCTTCAGGCTCAGCTGGCTTGGCATCTTCTTTCTTCTCCTCCGTTGATGCAGGAGGAGCTACAACAGATTCAGCTGGTTTCTCAGTTTCTTTCTTATCTTCTTCCATTGGTGCTGGAGCAGGAGCATCATCAGCCTTGTCTGCAGCCTTCTCAGCATCTTCAGCTTCAGCAGGAGCTTCCTTAGTCTCTTCAGCAGGCTTCATCTCCACATCAGTCTCCTTTGCAGCATCTTCACTTGGAGCCTCCTTGCCAGTTTCAGCATCTTTGGCTTCTTCAGTTTCAGGGGCTTCTTCCTTCTTCCCCTGCCTACCCTTCCTACCACTTGAGTTTCTGCTGCGTTTTGGGATCTTCTCGCCCTCTGGGCTATCAAATACCTTAACTTTCTCGCTAATGCGAGCAGAACGCCTTGGAGTATCACCTGTTTGCAAAGCATTTTAGATGGAGAAGACAAGACTTCCAAAGCCATCCACTTCTATTTGAGCCGGAGATTTAGAGAAATAACGAGTGGTAGTCAAAGGTATCTACCAGTTCCCCAATCAAACTCTGAAGCAGCAGGGCCTCCAGGGTGTGCCTTCAGGTATTGGCTTAGTTGCCTCTTGTTCTTAATTTCCTCGCCAGTTGGTGATACAAAAACAATCTCAGATCTTCCCCCTCTCTGGGGAGTATACTGTAACATTGAAAAAGAAAGTATATTAGTTCATGCAATCAGATATCCCCATAAAATACACATTAACTAATGAAAGAAATGAGTGCCTACTATGCTCTCTGATTCCTTGCAAAAAGAAAAAGAGAAGTGTTCCTTTGAAAGATCAGAAGAAGTCAAAGGAACACATGAACATGCTACCAGGAAAATAATGTTTTGTGGAACAGCACTAGCCTCATCTAATGTTCGGACGTTCATCTATCATCCAGAGGATTACATATTGAAAAACAGAGGCACCACTAACTGAGAAAACTGCTGGCTCCACAACCAGGTAGTCATTAACACCACGTGGGAAAACTGCACTGATGTAAATATTGCGAAGCAGAAGAACAGCTAGGACACAGGTGGGTCAGTAAAAGACAGAATGCTTGGAAACAGTGGAATGCATACTTGCCAATTTACTGCTAGGTATGCATCACAATCAACAAAGAACTAGACTGTTACACTGTTAAACGGATAGTATTAGAGTTTTAGCTTCACATTACACTCTTGGCTTTCACCACCATATAATCAGTGCCATCCTCCTCCCACATGAACTAGACTGGAAGTATGCTAACTGTGCCAAGAACTAGCTACTGCCCTGACAGGAATAGAACTTGAAAGCAGGCAGAACCTATCCTCAAAAGGAGACATTTCAGATGTCAGTGACCCAAAGAAGCAGAAAGATAGGTAGATTATTTTTGCACTAAAGTCAATGTAACTCAAACAGCCAAAAAAAATAGCTAAAGTAATTGGAATTTGGATATATAATTAGCCAGAAACCAATTTCAATCCACTCAAGTTCAGCAAGGAAAAAAATAAACAGGTAGATTTCATACGAATATTAGTGTGAAACTTATGGGACAGCTTAGCAGAGATAAAGTGTCACCAGATAAACTTCTAGTTACTAGCAGATTGATTTTCAGTGTCTACAGAAATGAACAGGAAAAAACAGTTATCTCACAGCTTAATAAAAGTGATCTTTATTGGGTATCTACCTAGCAAAATTAGTTACCTAGAAGGTTATCACTTATCAGCAAAAATAAAATGATGGCCTTATAATGGAGAATTTGAATGCCTTAGCAAACTCCAAAGGAGGGTTATAGAGTGTTTCCAAACCCTTATCACCCACTTCAGATACATTGCCATCAACAACTATGTAGTAAATTTTGAACATCACATTATATGGAAACAATATTTTTACTAAACATAACAGAAAGCTGCAAAACCAACAAAAAAATGGAAATGTGCACAAAATAATGCAAGACATTTGATCATAATATCTATTTGTATTAGAAACATTTATCCCTTTGTTTGAAAAACAACAAAAATTCGACACAACAACAAACAAGAGCCAACCTAGTGGCTGATTTAGCAACACCACGTGTCAGGTTGCTATGTGACCAAAAGAACGACAAGCATGCAAACAGTTAATAACCAAATCGAAAAAAACAGGTAACCAACAAAGAATTAGAACGTCACCTCTAACGGTCATTTTAATGCGGCAACGTAAGACATTAAAGGTACAATCCGCAAGAACTATTTCCAGCTCCAAACCACTTTTTAGATGATTCCAACATTGAACTTTATCCAGCATCCATCGGTTTCGCCCAGCTAAAAACAGAAATAGATCACGCTAGACGACAATCTATATCAACTGCCTGAGCTATTCAATGCTTCCCGCCAATAGAGAAACTAGATATTGCAGCCATTAATAGCATGAAAAGTGCATTCCAACAACCAATAATGCAAAACACCGACAGTAAATCCTATGAAGCACCATCAGTCTCCAGCTAGCAATAAAAAATAACCATGTTAGACTACACAGAACAGGTAATCCCTAGGCTAATAAGGTTGTTTGGCACTTTTCTGTTATCCGGTTGAAAAGGATACTGAAACGACCATAAACACATCCGATAATGAACAAATAGCAGACCCCTAAACTCAAAGCTTGAATATTTGAGATTTTCAGGTGGGTATTCAAGTGATAATACATCTGAGCAAATGGATCATTTTCAAACCCTCCAAACACTCAATAGGAGCCCATATCAGTGTGGCAGCACCCTGTTCTGTTGCATCAAGCTTTCATTTTTTGCATGATTCAGCTCAACAAGCACTTGTTCTAGCAAATCTGGCACTAATCACAGTAAAATGAAACTAAAACCAAAACCATGGACCGAAATATGACCAGATTCACTAAGCACACATCACCTATAATCAACATCAACCAGGAAATGGGTAGGACAATGGACAAACCCCTATTACCAACAAATCAACGGCTCTTAGTTGCAGAACACTCCCATTCCAGCTTCTCTACACGTACACTACTACTAAAGCAATGTTAACCCCTTGAATCCAAAGTAATTGCCGAACAATTAGAAGTCAGAACAAAACAAAGCACTAAACTAACCCACCATCTAATAATATGAACAATTGAACATCCAATTGGAGATCAGGGGATAAAGCTCTAGTAGCAGTGACTGGCTGATTGCCAAAGCTGCAAGCTGCAGGAGATTCCTCATTCCAGCTTCACTACAAACACACTGCTACTCAAGTAGCATCAACCGCTAATCTGAAGTCATAGATGAAGCATTTCAAGCGCGAACAGAAGAAAGCATTGGAACCAGTAACGTATCATCAATTAATCAACATTCAACTAGAAAAGGGTAGGCTAAAGCCCCTATTAGCAGTTATCACCATAGCTCGAAGCTGCAGGAGATTCCCCATTCCAGCTTCACTACAAACGCACTGCTACTCAAGTAACATCAACCGCTAATCTGAAGTAATAGATGAAGCATTTCAAGCCCAAACAGAACACTGGAACCTGTAACCTATCATAAAGAAATCAACATCCAACTAGAAACGGGTAGGCTAAAGCCCCTATTAGCAGCGATTGCCATAGCTCCAAGCACTGCAGGAGACTCCCCATTCCAGCCTCACTAGAAGAGCACAACTACTAATCAGAATCAACATCCTAATCTGAATTAATAGCTTGGGTACCAATACCAAGTTCAAGCATTTCAGTCTAAACAAAAGCACTGCAATTCCTACCCTATCACCAGATGACAAATATAAAATTTGGGAACCGATGGGCTAAACCCTAGCACCCCTAATTGCAAGAGCCCCAAACTGCAAATAGCAAAATATCCCTCAGTCCATGTAAGCAGCAAACACAGTACAGCGAGCAAACAAAGCAAGTGAACAGCGACACTTCGCGCCGAGATTTAGGAATTTTCCCCCGGCTCAGGTCGCCCCCGACAATCTCTAGAAGGCCCTAATCCCAATCGAGCGGCCCAGCTCCGAATCATCACCGTACGGACCGGGCAAGGGGCGTAGCACACCAACCACACCTACCCATCGGGTAGAGTGAGTCGCGCTCCAGCCGGAACAGAGAGGTCGAACACTCGTGGCCGAGCTCGCGACGCACCTACTCCCAGTCCCAGCACGAATCGAGCTCCAGAACCACAGCTGAATCGCGGCGGCCAGCCGGGGGCAGCCTCGTAAACCCTAGACCCCCAAACTCGAAACGGAAGCTCTCGAACACCAAAACCAGCACCGCCGAAACCCTAGAATTCGCGGCCGTGGAAGTCGAATTCCGCTTCCCAGGACCCGCGAGCCCCGCGATTTCCACCCCTAGAGCCCCCGAATCGGACGCGAAACGAAGCAGAGCAGAGCGCAGGTCGGTCGAGCGAGCGAGCGAACAGGCCGGGAAGCGGGCAGCAGGTCGTCATCACCCCGTACCTTCTTGGTCCACCCGTCGGGAGCAGGCATCTCCACGGACACGACCTCCTCCGCCGCCGCCTGCTGCTGCTCGCCGGGCGTCGCCATGGTGGTGGTGGTGGGTGTGGGTTATCCCTTAGCTCTCTGGCTCGCTGCCCCGTCCCTCCCGCTGTCGCTGTCAGTGTCACGCGCTCTCCGCCCTCGCCGCTTGGTGTTGGTGTTGGTGCTAGACTGTGCAGGTCGGGGGAAAGGGACAAATGACTGGCGCGTGGGGATTTCATTTCCATTTTATATATATGTAAAATAATAATAAAAGTAAATGCAACCCCACTTCGCGCGGATAACGGCTCCCTTCGGTAGGCCGCCACGGGACGCGCCGCGCTCGCCCGGCACTGACGCGTGGGTCCGACGCGCTGTAGGCGGGAGTGGGGTCGCGGTGGCAGCGAGCGCGGAGTGAGGGGGCGGTTGGTACGGCGTCGGGGACGACGTGGGGGGACCGCGGTGCGGTGTCGACGGCGTGGGGCGTGGCGCGTGCCGCGTGGGCGCGGTCCGTGCGCCGGAAGGCAGCGGAGGGCCCGAGCGGCTGTGAGAGGGACTGCGTGGACCGGGTCTAGGGAGGCGGCGCGGGGCACGGACGGCGGGACTCAGAGGCCGGACGGCAAACCGGATTGCACTACCGCCTCGTGGAGTCCGCGGGGGCGGGAACTGGGCGCTGGGCGGGCCGCGGGCCGCGGCCCTTTCTCTCCCCCTCGGGGGCTGCGCGCCAGCCACGTGGCAACCTCGGCGCGGATAACCCTCCCCCGCAGAGGGATCGGTGCAGGCGCGGCGCCGTGCGCCCGGCGCACATGGCGGTCTGTGCGGTCGGGTGGGCGGAGCGCGGGGGTGACATATGGATGGACGCCGCGGCGCAGCGCCCCGCACGCGCGCCTCGTGGGCCGTGTCGTGTCACCGCGGGCGTGCCGCGCGGGCCCCCCGCTCCCGTCTCTCTCATTTTTTCCATTATTATATTCACTACTAGTACTATTCTATTCATTTCTTTATTAGTTTTATTGACGGAGTACACATCTGTTTTTTTATGAGTTAATTCTCTTGAAGTTTGATAAAGTCTTTCTATCCGTAAAAGTACTAATGCTTTTAATATATATCAAGAGACTAAGAGCAGAATATATCTTCATAATAAAAAAATAGAGATAGAGATATTAATAGTATTTACTTAAACTTAAAAACATTAAAGTTCGCTAAAATGATACTCCCTCCAGTACAAATTATAAATTTTTTTGGTTTTTCTAAATATATAAGTTTTGCTATGGACTTAAACATACTTCACGTCTAGATACATAGTAAAGCCGGTGTATCTAGAAAGACAAAAATATCTTCTAATTTAGAACGAGGAACATGACATATACATTTTTATTTGGGACCCATGTTATATACGACAAGGAAAGGCGTGCGTGAGATATTTGAGAAAATGACACATTGACCTCCTTTCGGCTTTTAGCGCTGTCAATTGGGCCGGGCGCATCTCTTTCTCGGCCGTTGGTATGTTCCAGGATGGGCCGTATCAGCGTGGCCAGGGCTGGAGATGGTGATCTGGGCCAACAGCAAGAGAAGATCGGCGCGGCCCACACGAGTTCCCGTTATCCATCCTCTCCTCTCAGAGCCCATAGCGCTAAGATCATGATATAGAGCGATTCTGTTCCTTTTTTCTCTCTCTCTCTCTCCAACGAACAACCATACCAGCAAGTTATTGTGGTGTTGGATCAGTGAACTCTGAACTAGCATGCATTCATGCATCTCGAAGATCTTTGCTTGCTCTGCAGATTGAGCTGCAGAATCCAGGCTTTGGATTTGGAATGCAGCAATGTAGACTCAAACATGTTAGAATCGATGATTAGTACCTCTGTGTGTGTAACCCGTAGATCCGGGGAAGACCCTTCTCGTCTTTCACTGTTGCGGCACAGCAGCAGCGTAGACGCCGGTGTAGGGGCAGCTCCGGCTCGATGGCGAGACGGCGGTCCGGTGTAGACCTGCAGGGGAACGACGGCGGTGGCAGGGCACATCCCGTCGCTGGCAGCACGACCTTTGATCAGATTAGGGTTTTCTGTAGGTGGGTGTGGCGGCTCCTTCGAACCTCGTGAGCTGAGCCCAGTTCCCCACTCCTCTATATATATGTGCTGTGCGACAGGGGCCCACCAACCAGTTAGGGTTGGACGCCCCCGATCAAGGCGCAGAGGTAAGGGCCCAATAGATATTGGTGGAGATCAACTAACATTCTCCTCCTTGATCTCATTACATCTTTTAATTTTATATCATTTACTTTTGTTCATTCCATTACAGATTAGCACATAGAGCATGTCTTATCGTCACGGTCCATTGCCGATAGACTTAACAGCCACAACACACTACTCTGTTCTGAAATAGATACTTATCTTTGGGCCTTCTTTTGTCCAGGAATTTTAGGCTTCCCCTTAAACCCATGTTAGCTACATATTCTCTGAACACCATGTTCTCTAAACATGTTGGGTGGTGAGCCTTTTGTAAGCGGATTCGCAAGCATCTTTTCGATACTTATATGCTCAAGACTTATGACCTGATCCCGGACTTTATCTTTCACAACATAATACTCTATGTCAATGTGTTTGGCAGCACCACTTGACTTATGTTGTGAGTATATTGTACTGCCTGATTATTATCGCAGTATCACTTAAGTGGTCTATAGATGTCGTTAACCACCTTCAAACCGGGTATGAACTTCTTTAGTCAGCTCACCTGTCCGTTGCCTCATAACACGCTATAAACTGTCATACATTGTGGACGATGTAGTGACAGTTTGCTTTGAGCTTTTTCATGAAATAGCTCTCCTTTGTGAGATGATAGAAAATCAACGTCTGGATATGTATTCACTCTCGCATAATCAGAATCTGAATATCCCACCATGTGGAGTGAATCAGATCTTCTATATGTCATCATGAGGCCTTTCGTTCTTTGCAAATAACGCAAGACTTTCTTTATTAATTTCAGTATTCTGTTCCAGAATTGCTCTAAAATCTACCAAGTAAAAACCCGGTAACAAATGTCAAGTCAGGGCGCATACATACTTGAGCATGTTGCAAGCTTCCGACAGCTAAAGTATATGGAACCACTTTCACTTTATCAATTGAGCTCATATTGGTTCCTGGGGCATTGAAAATCCCTATATCTGTCGCCCTTGACTATAGGAGCAGGTGAGGGACTATATTTATGCATACAAAATTTCTTTAAGATCTTTTCCATGTATGCCTTTTGTGACAGTCCTAATACCCCTTTACTTCTATCTCGGTGAATCTCGTTCCCTAGAACGAACGAAGGTTCACCAAGATCTTTCATATCAAATTTTGAGGACAAAATTTCTTTGTCTCCTGTAGTAGACTGACATCACTACTAGCAAGTAAGATATCATCCACTTACAGGACAAGGAAGATAAACTTCCTATTCTTAAACTTTGCATAGACACAATTGTCCTCTACATTTTCTTTAAACCCAAAATTCTTTATTGTCTGATCAAACTTCAAGTACCACTTTCTTGAAGCTTGTTTTAATCCATTAATGGATTTCTTTAGGCGGCATCCCATTCGTTCTTTTCCTTCCATGACAAAACCTCTCGGTTGTGCCATGTAAATATTTTTCTCCAAGTCCCCGTTGAGGAATGCCGTCTTTACATCCATCTGATGTAATTCTAAATCATAATGTGTCACTAATGCCATTATGATTCTAAAGGAAACTTTACATGAGACTAGAGAAAAGGTCTCATTGTAATCAATTACTTCTCTTTGCATATAGCCTTTTGCCACAAGTCGCACTTTATATTTCTCTATATTCCCTTGAGAGTCAAGTTTTGTTTTGTAGACCTATTTACAGCCTACTGTTTTGACTCCATTAGGAATTATTTCCAAATCCCAAACTTTATTGGCATTCATTGATTTTATTTCAGCTTCCATGGCCTTAAGCCACTTTGATGAATGATCACTTCTCATAGCTTCTTCAAATGAGGTGGGATCATCCTCCATTTGAAATTTCTCAATGTTGTACACTTCATAATCAGTAGGAATAGCTGATTTTCTAACTCTTTGAGGCCTTCTAGGGGCCTTCACATTTGGCACATCTTCTGTTTGAGGCTATTGTTGCTCCTCCTCATGTGTGGCAATAGGTTCTATAGAATCCTGAAGAACAGGTTACTCATCGTCATTCATTGTTGCCACAGGTGAGATAACAATAGTTGCTGACACCATAGTCTCTTACACTATCGGTGCAGCAACAACAGATAGTGAGAAAATTGGCTCATGAATCATTGGAGTGGGCGCATACACCCGCTTCACTTCAAGGTCAATTTCTCGAGCTACCATGCTCCCCCTCATTAGTTCATCCTCTAGGAAGACAGCGTGTCTCGTTTCCACAAACTTTGTATGTCTCTCTGGACAGTAGAAACAAAAACCTTTTGACTTTTCTAGGTAGCCAAACAAATGACAACTTACTATTTTGGGTTAAATACTTTTGCCTCAGTAGGACTCCCTCCCCACACAAGTGGTTTAGTGAGGGTACTCTTTCTGTCCACAACTCATACGGTGTTTTGGGCACCGACTTACTTGATACTCTATTGAGAATATGAATGTCGGTTTTAACGCCTCCATTCACAGACTCAACTGTAAGGTGGAGTAACTTATCATACTGTTCACCATATCCATCAGGGTGCGATTGATTCTTTTAGCTACTCTATTTTGCTGAGGTTCATCCGATGTAAAATACTAGGCTACTATGCCATTCTTTTAGGGTATGCCGACCGTAGTACTCCCCCACGGTCAGACCTGACTATCTTAATCTTTAATATCTTAAATTTATCTAATACATCTTTTCTTTCTTTGATTGGATAAATATAGCCATAATGGGAGTAATCATCTGTGAATGTTATGAACAGATCATAACCATCCACACTCTTTACAGGAAAGTTGACCACAGATGTCTGTGTGAATAATCTGTAAAATTCCTACGCTTCGTTTGTCATCTTTCTTAATCTTCTTTACATACTTTCCTTTTATGCATTCCCTGCATTGTTCTTAATCTGAGAGCTCTAA